AAAATTAAAAAATATGACAATTTCAAAATAAGGTCCAGAATGAACAATGCAGACATTCCTGGCTCTAAAATAACATTTTCTTTGTTCATCAGTCATGTCTCCAGGCCCCTCTGATATTACTCTTGCTTTCTATTTTGAATTTTTACTCAAACAAAAAATAGAACACTTACTATTATGCAGACTACTGCAATAATTGTATAAATAACATCAACCCATTCACGATTGCATATTAGAATGGCTAGTTGGACATTTATTGGACAATGACATCATTTGTTTACTTTTGAACATTGGCAAAAATCAAACATTTCCCCTACTTTGAGCTCCATTTCCAGGTTTTTTTTTATAGTAAAATCAATCAAAATCACCTCTATTTCTATAATATGTTTTCCATTCTATCAAATGAGACCAAGAAAACGAGAATACAACCATAAATACTATACGAAAATAGACCACAAAGTCGGCATTTTAATTAAAAAAAAATGGTCGGAGTTTTTTTTTTTCTCATTATGCACTGCGTGCTCCAGGATTCTTTTTATATGGTGCACACTGACCACACAGACCCATTCTCTCACACGTGGGCCTACCAGCTTTCTCCTGCTTGATTTGAAGCCGCTAGAATTTATGAGTATATATACGTCAAACACGGTACCTCATTAGACGTATATATACGGCTGCGACAGTCAAAGGGTTAAGTCCACTGCATACTTCCCTGTACACTGCATACTTCCTTGTATACTACATACTTCCCTGTACACTACATAATTCCCTGTACACTGCATACTTCTCTGTATACTGCATACTTCCCTGTATACTGCACACTTCTCTGTATACTGCATACTTCCCTGTATACTGCATACTTCCCTGTATAATGCACACTTCCCTGTATGCTGCATACTTCCCTGTATAATGTGTATTTCCCTGTGCACTGCACACTTCCTACCTGATCTTTATTGTATTATAATTTTTCTTCTGATTTGGCTTTGAAACAGCTTCAGTTCCATCTTTGCTTAACCTGATATGATCAATTTAAATATGGTAAGTTTCCTGCCTCCTTCTTTGCCCAATGACACTAATTTTTTGTTTCTTTTGCTGCTTCCCAGTTCTTTGATATCAAGTTCATTCTGCATTTTTTCATCTGCTTCTGTTCGTGGATTTTTCCTATTCCTTAGTGAGTTGTAAATGTATCACCTCTGAATGCTTAGTTGAAAATTTTTATCATTTCCTGTATGTACTGCCTTCTGAATGTCAGAAAGCTTTTCATTCCCACACAGCCACCTTTCTTAGCCACCAGTTTCTTTCATTCCATCTCCTCTACCTTTTTTAATTTTCTCCAGGTAGCAGCATGTCAACATAGTAATGGCTTCCTCCCTGGGGAACTGCTAAATTTTCTCTACATCCATATAGTAGGTTGTTAGGTAAGACACATGCAACAGTTAGGTACGTATCTTTATTTCGAAATGTTTCGTCTACACAGTAGGCTTCTTCAGTCGAGTACAGAAAAGTGATAGAAGCAGAAGATACTTGAAGACGATGTAATCAGTCCATCACCCTTGAAGTTTTGAAGTGGTCAGTCCCTCAGTCTGGAGAAGAGTATTGTTCCATAGTCTGAAACAATATTAGTTTCAGACTATGGAAACAATATTGTTTCAGACTATTCTTCTCCAGACTGAGGGACTGACCACCTCAAAACTTTAAGGGTGATGGACTGATTACATCGTCTTCAAGTATCTTCTGCTTCTATCAATTTTTCTGTACTCGACTGAAGAAGCCTACTGTGTAGGCGAAACGTTTCGAAATAAAGATACCTAACTGTTGCATATGTGTCTTACCTAACAACCTGTCGGTATTTTATACCATTTTAATGTTCAATCCATATAGTAGGTGAAAACAAAGTCTAGCCTCACCAGCTCATCATTCTCTTTACCTTCGTAGATCTATAATACATTACCCTAGGATGATCAGCATTATAGATTTAACCAGCATGCTGCTACCCATCTGTGGGACCCAAGTTACATCGAGCTTAAAATTCCCTTTGTCGAGCCTTCACTCACTGTCTCTTCAACTTTTTTCAATGTATTTATTGTTATTGCACTCTTTCTGCCAGTCTTTTATTTTTAAGTTCATGGTATTCAGTCTTAAGTGTTAGTGCTATAATTTTGAAAGTTTCCAGTGGTGTAGAACTTACTATATTGCCTTCTCAGGGATATTCCAATATGAAATCATCCTACTCAAAGAAAAACTTTCAAGTATACATTCGCAATTTGTTTCTGCAGTAAATATTCTTATTAATTATTACTTCTACAGATGAAATAAGGAAAGTACATTTTGAACATTGATATGCACTTGTGCTGCAGAGACCTTAAGGGACTCAGATGTAATACAGTATATTCTTACCATTCACCCAGCTATGTTGGTGTAGGAGGAAACCCAGTAACCTCAAGGTCCCTCATCAATTAATCTTTCAGCATTTATGACAGGCTTTTGCAGTGGGCCCCTAGGGAGCCAATTTGGAATATCGCTAGCACAGAAATGGAGGCAGCAGCTCTGAAGTGGAACAGAATTCAAAGAAGAGCAACCTAGGGTAGAGTTGTGAAGGTTTCTTTTATCTGTCACTGAAAAATGTACTGGAAGAGGATCTGTGTATTTAGCCACAGGAAGAGGCAGTATCTGAAAACAAAGCCAAATGAAAGACATCCCGAATGGCCAGAGAGCACTGCCATTGCATACACACATGGATGAGAAAATAAGTGATAGCAGCATAATCACTGACACAGGCTTAAGCATCAAGCACATGGATGACTTGCCAATAACAAAGCTCAAGGATCAATCCAACTCCAAGAGGTACTCCTCATCAGTCCATATAGACCACCTTGAATGCTTATACTTGAAGAGAACTCTTACCACTGTGCTAAAGCTGATAAAGCATGGATGGGAGAGGGAGTCTGGCAGTTTGTTTAAAGACCCAGACACACCAGTCTTGGATGTCATGGAAAGAACCAGGACCCTGATAGAGTACATTAACAAATGTGTCTTGGAATCAGTCTATGAAGTGCATGGAAACCACCAATGATCTAAAACCATGAGGGCAAAAAACAAATTGAGTAAGGATGTACAATCATTTTGGAGAAATGTATGCTTGGAGGAATCCATCAGCAGCAGACAGGTGCAGGGACACCAGGTATGCAACTGCCTGCCAGCACAGACTTGATAACTTATGTGAGGGTTGCCCACCTGAACAGAACAGTAATGTGTTTCACTTACAGTGTTTGTCATTAAAGTAAGCTAACTGGAGGCACCTAGCATACTCTAATGTCAAAAGTAATCTCTTACCCTGTTTAGTGTTTGGTGAGAAAAAATTATGCTGGTCTGCCAACTTGAGGCAGGATGTCTCAGGATTTGCTAAGAATTTTGGCTGTTGCCTAAGAGCCTTCTAATCTTGTGTGGTGGCCAGATCTCTGTTCATGGTCTCCCTGCACCATGGTCTTCAGTGCTGAGTGCATAGACATTTTTGGCAAAACAAATTAATATGGGCAGGAGTAAATAGCTGACACAAGAGAAAATTGCACAAATCACTGGATTACATAAAGAAGGCCATCATATGAAGGAAATATTAGAAGTCAGCAATGTGTGTGAGCATTCAATGAGGACCTACTTGCATTGGCTTCTTGAGGATGGCATTGATGACACACCCAAGTCAAAAGAAAGTCTAGGGGTCTAGAAAAACATCCCCACTAACATTAACTGTAATAACGTGACTAGAAGTCCTCCATGATCATTAAACCGAATCTTTCACACACAGCTCTACAAATATTTTTACGCAAGACAGTGCTCCTTGTTATACCGCAAAATCTGTTATTCAGTGGCTTCATGACTGAGATACCCTTCTTCAGTGATTGGCCAGGAAATTCCCTAGACTTGAACCTCATTGAATCTTCAATGGGAAAAAGACAAGCTACCAAAATCACAGCACTCACACTCTAGGTATGATATGCATGGGCAGAAAGCTCACACTGGCCCACGTGAGTGCATGTGTTGTACTAAAGCAAAGAAAAGCAAGAACTGACCAGAAAACCAGAGGATGGGTTGATGAGATAAGTCTGAAAGGAATTCTTCAACCAGGCCACTAAGATAGACATGAAGGTGAGTAGGGTTCCCGAAGGGTATAGAAAAAAGCTGATGAGTGCTCTTGATGGTGACTGCGAGGTGCAAAGGACTCACCCTCATACAGGAGGAAGGAAAGTCACACAGATTGTTAAAAGTGAAGGGGATATCCTTGAGATGTGATGCCATAAAGCCACAAGCCAATTTGAGTAGGAAGAATACCTACACGAGTAGCTGAGGCCAGAGCCATGAAGAAGACTGTTGTTTGGGCGGAATAATACTGGCATCCTGGCTCAGAACGGAAAACCGGATGGGTCACAAAGCAGTTTTGAACCATCTGAAGGAATTACACTGGACGGACCACAACAGGCAAGGACATTGAAGGAACGCTGTTACAAACGCACAGTGTGAGATGTAAAGGCTGAGCCAGAGTATATTTGGAATTCAGGAGACTTCAGACTCGCCAGAGAAGAACATGTCAACAAGGAACCAGATACAACAGCTGAGGTAAGATCAGAGAACTAGAATACCCCACCACACAGGAAACTCCAAGGAGCTCTAGACCACTGTATACAGCCAAGGTCATGGCTATGAACTTTATCTCTTTAGGAAAGACAGCCTGGAGGCAACCTGGAGAACACTGAGCCACGAGCTAGGCACACTAAACCACAGAGGTAGGACAACTATGGAGCACCAAAGATGACAAAATCAAGCCAGAGAAGGAGAGGTTACAGCAGAGGCCAAACCAGCAAAGATGGAATCCATAAACTGAAGATGAAGGGATGAAAACCTCTTGAATGATACACACTATCAAAGACCTGGTCCTGGACTGGGATGCATGAGCAGGAAAATTCCCAAAACTGATAGACAGAGGTGGCAGATAAATTTGAGAATCTTCCTGAATGAGGGGAGATGATGACTTCCAGGTAGATGACTGCTGTAGAGAAAAAGCATTTTCTTTTTTTTTTTTTAGGGAGACTAGCACCCTTTAGGGATACCTAAATTCTACAGGCAGATGGTGACAACCATTGAGGAAGGTTTCCTGTGGAAGCAGCCCTCAGTGAGTAAGAAGTTAACAGAGTAGCAGAATGTAGGAGCCTCACAAAAGATCCCCAGGAAGGCAAGAGGCAGTAAATATAGGGACCAAGACCCAAGTGAGTCTGAGCAAAGCAGCTCTTTGAAGCCCAGCCCAAGAGAGGTTGACCATAAATAAAAGTGCTGTACCAAGCCAGACAACACTTGGTGATTCACAGGAAAATCATGAAAAGAAGCAGAGCACCTAAATGACTGCTGGAAGAGACTATATACATTTACCAAAACTCCTAAAGTAAAATGAAGAAAATGGTGAAAACATTTAACTGTAAGCTTTTAAGCACACTTGCAAGCTGACATAACAGTAGTTAGAGCTAACACTGTACACTGTTCTCTATTATTAAATATATTATTGCCCATGCATAAAGAAACATGTTATACAGTAGAATGCCAATTAACATGCAGTTTACTTTCTTGGAAAAAAAAAAAAAAAACTGAACTTTATATGAAATAACATTATGTGGACTGAAGAACAAGTTTTAAATTTTGAAATTCACCAAAAATGCTAAAATCTTTTATACCTAATGCTGTACACAGTTATTGTTGCTTGCTGATCAGTAAATATGTGAAGAGGATCAATGTGGCTCTGTACAACACCTGTACAAACATGAAGCAGGCAGTATCAGCTACCATCACCACCACCTGCAGTCAACATGTCAACATTGGCAAAGCCAAATTTTCTTACCAGATTGTACCAAACATATAGTAACTCACCACACCTGTATCAAACACACACTGGAGGCAGCGCATGGTAGAAAAGAATAAGTGCCACCATGGCCAAAATCTAGGTTAGCAAACAAACCCATTCCTCAATGTTTCATCTGTTTGAGAGAATGTGTAGAATGTGTAGATATTGTCTTCAGCATCTGTAAGCCAGGCTCAGAGCCCCATAACAAAGTATGCTAACTAGCTATTTTAATAGTTCCTATCTTCCCCATACCTGGTCCTGCACAGTAGAAGAGAATACATACACAGACTGTGGGCTGGCCCATCAGCACACCATTCTGCTTTGACCACCACCCAAGACTCGGCCAATAACAGGCATAATGCACTCCCCTTCCCCTTATGCTGCCACATTGAACACATTTACCACTTCTAAAATATATTATTAAATAATGTAATGTCTTTTTATATTATTAAATAATGTAATGTCTTTTTCCCACACATCCTTTATCTTTAGTGTGTCTGAATACCATAGCTTTAGATACAATATTGATACAGTTTAAAAAGGTACAGAATAGCTTCTGGTTCAGCTATTATTTACACGAGTGTGCAATTTTGAATTTTCGCCAATAGTAAAAGGAAAACTTTTGAAAGATTATGAATCAACTTATACTGGCTGAATCTGCAATCAAAATTCTATCTTAAGTTACGGTGCCATAGTTCTATATATAATAACGTTGTTGTTGTTGATTATTAAAGGATATGACTTCATGCGGTATACAAGCTCTGCTCCCAGTGGTGTGGATACCCCATACAGTGTGGTCACACTACCTTACCATCATTACTTTACTTTTTATGATATTATCCATCATCAACATATTCATCAATTGTATAAATACATCTAGAGTGAGTAAATGAGTGATAAGGGCATGAGAATGTGTAATTATGGTTAGTAGCCTTCATGCACTTGCCTTCCAGCTTACTCTCGAGACTTACTGACACTTTCAACTGATAATGTTCCCGACCACTTGGGACTTGGGTACAATACTTGGTGTTTTATTGAAAATACTTAGTCTACAATTTCAAGCATGGGCCAAATGCTTTGATGTAATAATAACCAAGTCATGTTGAAAATTTTTTTCATAAGGTGAATGACACATATATGGAAGATTCTGTGAGAAACCAGTGCCTAAAAGAAGGAAGATTCTGTGAGAAACCAGTGCCTAAAAGGAGGAGGATTCTGTGAGAAACCAGTGCCTAAAAGGAGGAGGATTCTGTGAGAAACCAGTGCCTAAAAGAAGGAAGATTCTGTGAGAAACCAGTGCCTAAAAGGAGGAGGATTCTATAAGAAACCAGTGCCTAAAAGGAGGATTCTGTGAGAAACCAGTGCTTAAAAGAAGGAGGATTCTGTGAGAAACCAGTGCCTAAAAGGAGGAGGATTCTGTGAGAAACCAGTGCCTAAAAGAAGGAAGATTCTGTGAGAAACCAGTGCCTAAAAGAAGGAGGATTCTGTGAGAAACCAGTGCCTAAAAGGAGGATTCTGTGAGAAACCAGTGCCTAAAAGAAGGAAGATTCTGTGAGAAACCAGTGCTTAAAAGAAGGAGGATTCTGTGAGAAACCAGTGCCTAAAAGGAGGAGGATTCTGTGAGAAACCAGTGCCTAAAAGAAGGAAGATTCTGTGAGAAACCAGTGCTTAAAAGAAGGAGGATTCTGTGAGAAACCAGTGCCTAAAAGGAGGATTCTGTGAGAAACCAGTGCTTAAAAGAAGGAGGATTCTGTGAGAAACCAGTGCCTAAAAGAAGGAAGATTCTGTGAGAAACCAGTGCCTAAAAGAAGGAAGATTCTGTGAGAAACCAGTGCCTAAAAGATGGAATATTCTGTGAGAAACCAATGCCTAAAATAAGGAAGATTCTATGCAAAACCAGTGCCTAAAATAAGGAAGATTCTATAAGATGCAACCCCTAAAGAAGTTAGATTCTATAAGATGCTACTCCCTTAAAGAATGGCATTCTAAGCTACAGAAGAGTATATAAGAAAAAAGTGAGTTGCAAAGTCAAGAATTGTGTTTCCCTGGTTACAAATGTTATTGCATGATAGTTAGAAAAATGCTAAAAGGTAAACTCCACCATTAATAGCATATGCATTCAAGCATATAGGTGCATGCACAAAAAATTTAATTACATATAACAATATGGTCTCTCGGTATTCAATTTAGAAGATCTGCAATACATAAAGGCTGCCATTTTCTCTAGTTAAAGGATGCAGTTTAAAAGACAATAATTAAAAATACAAATATCTATTATCAATGATTGGGTCTTGCACAAATGTTGAACTTATAGGAAAGTTAAGGCATATGTCGGGTTAACACCTCTCCAACTGCACCCAAACTTACGTCCACCTCGCACATGACTCGATAAATTACATCACTTACAATGACTTGAATATAATAACATAGCATTTAATAAAATAGTTTACTTCCTATAATAATAGAAAGTTATCAGAATCTGTGTTCTTCCAACCTTTTCACAAAAAAAATCTACCTGAATTTTTTTTTTTAAGACAACAGGTTGCATTATTAATTTTCAAAATTTTAATACCATGGTTACTAAATAAGAAAAATAAGGGCAAGACTTACGTGGATGCGAGCAAGGCTTGGTGTTCCAACATGATGAGAATGTGTTTAGAAACACTTTTCTACATGACTGAGAAATAGGCAAAACTTTGGTAATGTAGAAGTTATTCCTCATAAAGATCGTGAAAATAATTATAGTCATTTTAGAAAAAGAATGCGTCATTATTCATTAAACGGAAAATTAATAGGTATTAGATGAAGACAAAATAGGGCATAATAACAAAAGATTATTGGTATCAATCCATACAGTGCATGTAACTCAATAACATTAGTGAAAACAACTTTCATCTATAACCATACATTAATAAAGTGTACTGTACAGTACATTAGCACACATTAAAACAACTTTCATCACCAAAATATATTACGTGTGCCAATTTCTTTAAGTACATTAAATATTTCCAGTGAGAGCATGTTGTACTGTAATAAATAAAGGATTCCATAGGCTATGGGTAAGTGCTACAACATGTAGTGTAGTAACATGTTTAGCATTGCTGGCAGAAGACAAGCAAGTTAAAAGCCCTATTTAAGAGATGAACAATGAAATGGTAGTTATGAACAATGACACGGTAATGGAAATTCAAGCCTATGCAAGACGAATGACAATGTGCATGAATCCAAATGTGTGAGGTATTTTAATGTGGGACATTGTGACAAGAGAGCATAACTGATTTTCACAATATGCCAAGCTGCAATTCTAATTGACTTTTCATCCTAACCCCAGATCACACTACTTTGCAAGCAAGTCATTATCACAGATAGAATTCAACCTTACATATTATCAAACTATATTGGTTAGATATTATGCACAAGGAAGAACAGGAGCATTATCAACAGACCAGCCATACCCGCTGCAGTTATCACGATTCTCGTGGGCAGTCACTCAATGATGACATCTTCATGTCAGTCATGTGTGAATCTTGCAGTGTCCACAAGATCCTAATTTTCCATAGACACTAGGCATTTACCATAGCTGCATGGAACTTGGCTTCCTGTGTTTCACCTCGGAAACACGAGGATAAAAGTTGTCCTTTCTGCTGGCAATAAAACCAATGATAACTTTCAATTATGTCTCTTAACTCTGCACCAATTGATATCACAATCAGAATTTGGCTTTTTTTTTTTTTGTAACTAAATTACCCCCCTTCCCTACATAGTAACTTAAACTTTGGTTTGGCCATGTTTTTAAGAGACAGAGGTTCAAAAACAGAATCTTGGAAAAGCATAACAGCAAGGAATGAGCAGAACTGTTGAGGTGAAATATTAAGATAACTTTTGACACTTACAAAAAAACAAGAAGTTATGTAGCCTTTTAAAGTGCAGGTATAAAGAATTTACATATTACATGTTGGCAAAAACAAAATCCAATGTGTCCCTTTAAAACACAGCCAGTTTCACAAACCGAGTACTTTTACAATGAAAAGATGAATCACTTAATTGCCAAAGTGAAGGTTCACTTTCTGGGGTTCACTAATAGTGGTGATTAATATGAAGTGTTAAGTGGTGATGGCAATCTTCACTCTGCATACTCTCGTTCTCCCACATTGATGCGCTCGTTGGATGTAACACTGAACCCTAGAATACTACTGTCTACTTTCTGCATCTTTTTCTTGCTGGCCTTCTTGCTTCTAGCCTGCTGCAAAACAAACAGATTTCATTATTTTTTATTTACTCTATCAAAAATTAAGATATAGAACATACAAACTATTTCTAATCATGCCTAATATGCCAAGTACTCAAGGTATAAATTAACAACTAATATGTACTTAGTACATCTTACAAACACATTTAAAGCACAGTTGTATAATACTCCAATCCCTTGTAATGAACATTCAATATTTACATTTATAATTTTATAATTAAGTAGCCATAAAATAACATTTTACTAACATTCCAGAGCCTAAACAAATGCAACACAAAATTACAGTACAATTCCTGCAATGTTTGTGATGCATTTTAAAATGTTTAAACACTTGGTTTTTCTATCCAAGAGAACAACCATAACTTTGCTTGCATTACAAACATACATTATATGCACACTACAGGGTATGCACCTGAAAAAAAAAAAAACAGATGAACAAGTTAGAAAACGCTCAAAGACGAACTATAAATCATTACCAGAACTATAAGACTTTAGTTACAAAGAAAAGCTGAAGACATTAGACATGCCCTTACTACTTGATAAAGAAGAATGAGAAACTACTTGTAAGAGTGTCGCATATATGATAAACTCGATAATGACGATCCAGAAGCTATTGCTTAAAACTAATGCAAGTTACTGAAGGAATATTAGGAAATTTTTCAAGCTGAAAGGATACTAGAAAGTTCCCCACAGAGTGGGAAAAAGAGCAGAATGATTTACAGGAGGTAATGTCATTTTAAAAGCCATAATATGCCTCGGTGGGAGACGGCCGACTTGTTGAAAAAAAAAAAAAAAAAAATATGTCCAGTTATATATACCTCCTTTCTCCCCATGCTAAAAGAAAAAAATAAATAAAAATATACATAGGATATCACTGACATCTTTTTAATGTTAGAATGAAGTTTGTGATGGCTATGGGTCTGCTTGGGTGGCTGTGGTCAATTGAACCTTTGGGCAGCTTCATGACCAATTTTACCCAACTACCATTAAGATTAACTAGCAGTATGCTTCCATGAGAAATTTCATTTAATTCATATTATAAAAATTTATTTAGCTTGAAAATCTGTAATTAGGCGATACCAAACTGTTAACATTTTAGTCCCAGTATGTGTATCAATAATAGCAATGAAGTAATTTGCATTTATCATAAGATATTACAATAACTACTACACCATATATATGTCATGCCGAATAGGTAAAACTTGTGATTTTAGCTTAAATAGCAACGCTCTTCTTGCCGAATAAGACAAGCGAAATTTGTGCATGCAACAATTTCGCAAAAATCATTCCGAACCTAATGAAAAAATATATTTTATTGTGTTTATCATTAAATTATTGTAAACTTAAATATATTTAGTTGGACTAGGCCAAATTAAATTGCACTTGTTATAATAAGGTTAGGTAAGTTTTCTAAGGATGTTTTGGTACAAAATTATTAATTTTTACATTAACATAAATGAAATGAAAGAGGAAATTTTAGAAAGGACTTAATTTTAAATAAGTTCTTGCTAATTGACCAATTTTACTCATTTAGCATGGCAAATATATATGTACAATGAACGCAAATAAAAAAAAATACATTTCCAATGCAAGAAAAATGTATATTACAAGATTTTGGTGCATACATTTCACTTGCATTTCCGCCATAGGAAAAGTGGGTGGAGCTTGTGATGGCTTAGTGCGCTGGAGCCTGTCTTGCTCCATTGTTCCCCACTATGCCATGCTTCAGTGCTCTGCCAGAGCTCAACAAGGAGGTCCTGCTTTACGGAATTTCGCCTTACGGCGTTCCACTAATACGGTGATTTCAAATTATGGCCAAAACTTGCTATACGGCGAGAGGTCTTTGTAATACAGTGCGCCCCACCCAGTTCATTTACATTCTCCATGAGCACATCATTTTTTTTTTTTTTTCAACAAGTCGGCCGTCTCCCACCGAGGCAGGGTGACCCAAAAAAGAAAGAAAATCCCCAAAAAGAAAATACTTTCATCATCATTCAACACTTTCACCACACTCGCACATTATCACTGTTTTTGCAGAGGTGCTCAGAATACAACAGTCTAGAAGCATACACATATAAAGATACACAACATATCCCTCCAAACTGCCAATATCCCAAACCCCTCCTTTAAAGTGCAGGCATTGTACTTCCCATTTCCAGGACTCAAGTCCGACCATATGAAAATAACCGGTTTCCCTGAATCCCTTCACATCATGTCCGGAAATTTTCCAAAATTTCATGTTTTAAAGTTACTGCATATTTTATATGTACTCTGTTAATTATACTTATACGTACCTGTACCTAAGTATACTTACACACTGTGCTGACGTGCAGGTACACATTAAAATTACTAAGTCTCTCTCTACTCGATGCCATATAATAATCTCTTGGGCGCATTAAATGTCGTATATTATGTTAATATAGACATTTCCATTAATCCATCTATGATATTTTTTCAAAATTATGTAATAAACACACTACATAATATGTAAACATGATACATACACTCACAGTAAAAAAATTGACAAATATGAATTTGTTTACCAAACTGTTTGTAGGCGTGACGGAAGAATTACGTTTTCTCTAGTCAAACACTGGTTACTTAACTGTAGAAAAATATTCCTTTTGTATGCTTTCAGTCTATCTAAAGCTATTCATGACCTTTGTGGGTTTAGTGCTTTTTTTTATGATTACAATAATAATAATAATAATAAGTTAGAGGTATTGGGAAGATGGAGGGAATATTTTGAAGAATTGTTAAATGTTGATGAAGATAGGGAAGCTGTGATTTCGTGTATAGGGCAAGGAGGAATAACATCTTGTAGGAGTGAGGAAGAGCCAGTTGTGTGTGTGGGGGAAGTTCGTGAGGCAGTAGGCAAAATGAAAGGGGGTAAGGCAGCCGGGATTGATGGGATAAAGATAGAAATGTTAAAAGCAGGTGGGGATATAGTTTTGGAGTGGTTGGTGCAATTATTTAATAAATGTATGGAAGAGGGTAAGGTACCTAGGGATTGGCAGAGAGCATGCATAGTTCCTTTGTATAAAGGCAAAGGGGATAAAAGAGAGTGCAAAAATTATAGGGGGATAAGTCTGTTGAGTGTACCTGGTAAAGTGTATGGTAGAGTTATAATTGAAAGAATTAAGAGTAAGACGGAGAATAGGATAGCAGATGAACAAGGAGGCTTTAGGAAAGGTAGGGGGTGTGTGGACCAGGTGTTTACAGTGAAACATATAAGTGAACAGTATTTAGATAAGGCTAAAGAGGTCTTTGTGGCATTTATGGATTTGGAAAAGGCGTATGACAGGGTGGATAGGGGGGCAATGTGGCAGATGTTGCAAGTGTATGGTGTAGGAGGTAGGTTACTGAAAGCAGTGAAGAGTTTTTACGAGGATAGTGAGGCTCAAGTTAGAGTATGTAGGAAAGAGGGAAATTTTTTCCCAGTAAAAGTAGGCCTTAGACAAGGATGTGTGATGTCACCGTGGTTGTTTAATATATTTATAGATGGGGTTGTAAGAGAAGTAAATGCGAGGGTCTTGGCAAGAGGCGTGGAGTTAAAAGATAAAGAATCACACATAAAGTGGGAGTTGTCACAGCTGCTCTTTGCTGATGACACTGTGCTCTTGGGAGATTCTGAAGAGAAGTTGCAGAGATTGGTGGATGAATTTGGTAGGTGTGCAAAAGAAGAAAATTAAAGGTGAATACAGGAAAGAGTAAGGTTATGAGGATAACAAAAAGATTAGGTGATGAAAGATTGAATATCAGATTGGAGGGAGAGAGTATGGAGGAGGTGAACGTATTCAGATATTTGGGAGTGGACGTGTCAGCGGATGGGTCTATGAAAGATGAGGTGAATCATAGAATTGATGAGGGAAAAAGAGTGAGTGGTGCACTTAGGAGTCTGTGGAGACAAAGAACTTTGTCCTTGGAGGCAAAGAGGGGAATGTATGAGAGTATAGTTTTACCAACGCTCTTATATGGGTGTGAAGCGTGGGTGATGAATGTTGCAGCGAGGAGAAGGCTGGAGGCAGTGGAGATGTCATGTCTGAGGGCAATGTGTGGTGTGAATATAATGCAGAGAATTCGTAGTTTGGAAGTTAGGAGGAGGTGCGGGATTACCAAAACTGTTGTCCAGAGGGCTGAGGAAGGGTTGTTGAGGTGGTTCGGACATGTAGAGAGAATGGAGCGAAACAGAATGACTTCAAGAGTGTATCAGTCTGTAGTGGAAGGAAGGGGGTAGGGGTCGGCCTAGGAAAGGTTGGAGGGAGGGGGTAAAGGAGGTTTTGTGTGCGAGGGGCTTGGACTTCCAGCAGGCATGCATGAGCGTGTTTGATAGGAGTGAATGGAGACAAATGGTTTTTAATACTTGACGTGCTGTTGGAGTGTGAGCAAAGTAACATTTATGAAGGGATTCAGGGAAACCGGCAGGCCGGACTTGAGTCCTGGAGATGGGAAGTACAGTGCCTGCACTCTGAAGGAGGGGTGTTAATGTTGCAGTTTAAAAACTGTAGGGTAAAGCACCCTTCTGGCAAGACAGTGATGGAGTGAATGATCGTGAAAGTTTTTCTTTTTCGGGCCACCCTGCCTTGGTGGGAATCGGCCAGTGTGATAATAAAAAAATAAAAAAAAAATAATAATTTACTCTAAAAATGGTGTGTTGTATGAGAATGGGAGTGTTGCTGTTTATTTATTCTGTACTAACTTGTCAGAGCATCATTCCTTCTAAAAATGATGTTACATGAGAATGGAAGTGTTGGTCTTTATTTATTTTACTGTACCACTGTGGAGACAATTTGTACACAATGCAAGGTGTTTGTATGAACGTGTATGAACCATAACCAGATGCTTCGTCTGTTTGTTTACATGGTGGGGTAGCCAGGCGAGCTACCCTATCCTACCTCCCACACTGGACTTCCTACAAATAAATACTTTTTACCTCTCACCCAACATTAAGACCACCAATATTTTAAGGTAAGTAATGAGTGTATTGTATGTGA